CAAATAAAATCTCTGTAAGGCTTGTGGATGTGGTATGTTCTCTGTAGGGACATTGCTCACTTTTCATCTCATGGATTGCTGTGGGATAGTGCTCTTATTGGCCCATGACTTCCACCATGCATAGCACCAAACGAAACAAGGGTAGATAGCCTCTGATTCCAGCTTTTAGCTTTAGTTTTAGTCTTTAGCTGATACTCTTCCCCATAATAAAAAGACGCTCCCATATACTAAGCAGGGGAAAATCCTTGGCTTTTTTTCTTTTCTCTCATAAAGAGAGTCCATTAATCCTCCGAGCCTTGGCTATGATAAGCCTAGGTTTTTCCTCCCAAAAGGAGTCTTTAATCCAAAGGTTAAGTTCTTTGGAACACAAGATGGCCAGTAAACTTAGTGGTGCCAATAACCACTAGATTTGGTACGTTTATTCTTTATGCTGTACTTGCTACTCACCAAGGGCAGTGTCTATCAGAAGCCTCCTTCTGACTTAGGGATATAAAGCTCTAGTAATTCCTGCTTAATTCCTTTATGGGGAGCCTATGCCTCCAAACCTACTGGAATGTCCTGCCAAAGGAATTCCATAGAGCTATGTGGGTCTGACACAACACTTCTGTTTTGGAGGGGCTCTAAAATGCTGTGGGTCTTACCGTAAAAATTCATTTGAGCAATCATAAAAGCAAGCTCAGAGGACAAGGTCATTTGTTTTACTCCTGACTGGCCACATCTGAGCCTTTATTGTAAATGTGTGGTGCCAAGACTCTTCAGACTTTGAGCTTCCAGTGAAGGTTTTTAAGAATGAGTTAGATAAGGGGGGGGGGGTGGAGCTGGGGGTGGGCACATGCCTGTAATCCCTGCTACTGGAGAGGCTGGGGTTGATAGGTTGTTTGAGCTTGGGAATTCTGAGCTACCATAGGGCTAAAAGCTTATCAGGGCTGTCTGCATTAATTCCAGCACCAACTATGGTGAGCCTCCAGGATCAGTGGGTCATCAGGCTGCTGAGGAGAGGTGAATGCAGCAGATCAAAGCTTCTGTGATGATCAGCTGTGGAATCAGGTATGTGAATAGCTGTTACACTTCCAACCTGGGCAGGATAGGGAGACCTAGGAGAGAGAGAGACAAACAGACAAACAGAAACAGAGAGACAGAGACAGACGCAGAGAGACAGACAGATGGATAGATGGAGACAGAGGCAGAGGCAGACAGACAGAGGCAGAGACAGACAGACACAGAGACACAGAGACAGAGACAAAGGCAGAGACACACAGAGAGAAACAGGGACAGAGAAAAGGCTGGACATATGTGTACAGCGTGGGAGAAGGATCCAACATGTAATGAGAGTTCTGAGATAAGAGAGAGGGAATGATTGAAGGAGCAGGCTCCTGGAAGAGATCAATGATTCGCATGGTTGGGGGGTTTTCCTCTCATTTACACTTCCTTTGGATTCTTTGCTCTTTAGCTTCTGAAATGACTGAATAAAAAGGCCCCATTTCCTTTAGCTGGGAGGGACAGAATGAGGTACCTGCCAGCAGCTCCTTTCCCTAATTAAGCAGTAAATAAACAAGATTTCAGGAGCCAGAGACTGACTGATGGCTGTTCTGCTTGTCAGGATCCCAGCCATTTATCTAATTCAGCTTTGCTGGATTATGCAGGCGCAATTCCTTTGAGTGTGTGAATTATTTATGATCCCAGGAAGGGAAAAGTCATTTGGAAAGGGAACATGTCACTTTCATCAGCCTTTCTAATATTGCCAACTAAGGTGATGAAAGTATGACAATATTCCGAAGCCAACAATAACACTGAGCCAGGCTTTGAAGCTTCCTGGAAATGCCAACCTTGGGAGAGAAGGGGGAGGAGGTTAGATCATCCCAGGAAATAGGGCAAACAGTCACAGAATTCTAGTGCTGGAAGTGACTTTAGAGATAAATGAAAACTTGGATTTAAATCTCACCTCTGATGCTTCCTACCTAAGTGACCTTGTAGAACTTACTTCTGTAAATGTAAAACTGTAAAATGTAAATGTAAAAATCACTTCATCTGTAAAATGAAAGGGTTAGACTAGAACAGGGTGGGAAGCCTGTGGCCTCAAGGCTCTAGATGATCTCTCTTCCAGCTCTTGCTGAACCTTGAAGGAAGTTAGGAGTTCCAGAGCCAGAGAAAAGTAAGAAATGTATCTTAGATACGGGAGTCAGCCTTGAAAAGGCACAGAAACAAAGGATCAAAGGCAGAGTTTGGGGAAGAGCAAACAGGTCAGTTTGGCTAGAATGTGACTCAAGCAATCCCACAAGTAGGTTTTTGTTAAGTGTCTAAATATATAAATATGCTAGGCACCGTGGTGAATGCTGGGGATCAAAAAACAGAAGTGAAACAGATAGTCCTTGATCTCAAGCAACTTGTAGGTAGGCACCATGTGCACACATAGCCTTTAAGGAGAGATGAAGAGGGGGAGAATTCCAGATGTGAGGGACAGCCATTGCAAAGGCACTGGGGCAGGAGATGAATGGTTGTGTGTGAGGAACAGCAAGAATGCCAGAGCCTAGAGCAGGTGGAGCCGTCTTGAAATGGAAAGCAGAGTGTAAGAAGACTGGGAAGGGAGCAGCTAGGTGGCACAGTGGATAAGCTCCGACCTTGAGGTCAGCAAGACCCTGAGTTCATATGTGGCCTCAGACAGATGATACTTACTAGCTGTGTGATCCTGGGCAAGTCACTTAACCCCGATTGCCTCACAAAAAAAAAGAAGAAGAAGACTGGGAAGGTAGAAAGGGTTCAAGTTATAAAGGATTCTAAATTCTAGAAGATTTTATATTTGATCATAGAGGTCATAAGAAGCCACTGGAATTTATTGAGTAGAGAGGATGACACAATCACACCTGAATTTTAGGAAAATCACTTTGGCAGCTGAGTGGAGGATGGACTGGAGCAGGGAGAGACTTGAGGCAGACAGACCCACAAGCCACTATTGTAACAGTCTAGGTAGGAGGGGATAACAGCCTGCACCAGGGTGAATGCTTGAGTGTAGATAAGGATATGTATGCAAGAGATGTTATAAAGGTGAAAAGAAATGAGATTTGACAACAGATTGAATATATGGGGTATTCCATGAGTGAGGGATTGAGGATGTGAAAACAAAAAAGAGAGAGAGAAAAAAAGTATCAGGGAAAAGATGATCAACAGTATCAGAGGCTTCTGAGAGATCAGGAAATATAGGGAATGTTGCTTGAACTGAGTCTTGAAGGAAGTCAGGGACACCAAAGAGGTTGAGGTGAGAAAGAAGAGCATTCTATACATGGAGGACAGTCGATACAAAAACACTAGAAAGAGAAGTGTATTGTCATCAAGAATAGTGGGCCAATATGACTGGAATGTAGAGTGTGTGGAAAGGAGTAATATGTGACTGGGGAGGTTGGAAGGGGACACATTGTGGAGAGTTTTAAGTATCAAAAGGGTAGCAGGAAGACACTGTTGCTGATTGAATGGCGGGAGGGAGGGTGACATGGACTGATCTGAATTTATCATTTTCACGGCTTTGGGGAGGATGGATGGTGGTGGTGGTGATGATAGCATATGTATAGCACTTTATCTCATGGTTTGTAGTAGGGAGAGGCTAAGAGTTTTGAGGAAAAATAATGAGTCCTGTTTTGGACATACTCCGTTTGAGATGTCCACAGGTTAGTCTAAAATATCTAGAAGGTAGTTGGTGATTTGGGACTAGAGCTCAGGAGATAGCCTAGGACAAGATGAATAGTTAGATATAAATATAGATGGATAGATATAAATAGAGAGTCTGGGGAGTCATCTGCACAGAGATAATACCGGAACCCAAGAGAATTAATGAAGTCACTAAGGTAGAGACATATAGAGAAAAGAGAAACCAGTACAGAGCCTTAGGGGACACCCATAGTTAGGGGGGCATGTTTTGGATGATAACCCAGCAAATGAGTCTGAGAAGGAGCAGTAGCACAGCAATGAACCTGGAGCCCTTCCCAACTCAGCCATTTACTAGCTGTGTGTCCTGGGCAAATTACCTGAGTTTCTTCCATCTATAAAATGGGAACAATATCGATTACATCTAACCCACCAAGTTGGTTTTTTTTTTCAAATTAAAATCCATGGGGGAGGGGGCAGCTAGGTGGCACATTGGATAGAACACCGATCCTGAAGTCAGGAGGACCCAAGTTCAAATCCTGCTTCAGACCATCACTTGACACTAGCTGTGTGACCCTGGGCAAGTCACTTAACCCCAATTGCCTAACAACAACAACAAAAAAAGGTCCACGTCCGAATTGTTCTAAAAAGTGCCAAGTCTCAATGAGGAATTAAAAAAAATTCTTTGCAAGTTTCTCTCAGTGCTCCTTGTCCTGGCCCCTAACGCCAAGCCTCTTCTATGTGTTGTTGTTCAGTCACGTCCAACTCTTCCTCATTCCATTTGGGGTTTTCTTGGCAAAGATACTGGAGTGGTTTGCCATTTCCTTCCCCAGCTCATTTTACAGATAAGGAAACTGAGGCAAACAGGATTAAGTGACTTGCCTAGGGTCACCTAGCTAGTAAACTGCTGAGGCAATCTGCATTTGAACTCAGGTCCTCCTGACTCCAGGCCAGGTGCTCTATCCACTGCGCCACCTTCTACACTGTGCAGTCTTCTACGTGACTACTTCAAATACTTGAGGACAGCTAGCATGAAAACCTTTCCCACCTCTCTCTTACTCCTCCCTTCTCCAAAGCAAACATCCCGGCCTCCGCTTAGCAGAGTAGTCCAGGAGCGCACGTGGGGGGCGGGGCAGCAGCCCCAGCTGTGACCACTAGGGGGGAGGCAGGAGGTCAGGACTGGGAGGAGTTCCTGCCCCGGAGCCCCACCCACTTCCCCGTCGCCATGGTCACGGGCTCAGGTTCCCCAGCCCTGCAACCGTCCATTGGCTGCAACAAACACGTGACGGCGGCTGGAATGCTAATGTGACGGTTCTGGTCCCCCGCCCCCTCAGTCGGAGGCTCAGGCTGGCCGGCAGGCGGGCGTCGCTCAGCCCGCGAGGGGCGGGCCGCGGGGCGGCACCTGGGAAGAGCGACCAGGTAGGGGGAAAGGGGGCGCAGGAGACCGCAGGGAGCGGGAGGGGCCGCGGCCGTGGCTCCGCCGGCTTAACCCTTTGGGCACCCAGCTGTCACCCGCAGGAGCGAGCTGCCGGGCGTATTTCCGTGGGAGCTGTAGAGGGAAAGGATGGGGGGAGGGGGGAGGAAGAGGGGACGGTGCGGAGCGCGCGCGTGCACGCGCGGCCCGCCCAGGGTGAGGGGCTGGAGCGCGCCGCGCGGCCCCGGGGGTGGCGTGAGCGCGCTCCCCGGTAACCGTGCTGAGCGCGCCCGGGTTGGGGGCGCTGGTCTACACTGGTGCACGCGAAGCTGGAAAGTCTAGTTGGGAGAGGCGGGGATGGACAGGCTGCTCCGGGGCAGGACACATCTGGACGGCTGCTGCGTCCGATTCTATGCATCCCAAGCTAGAAAGAGGGGAGCAAGGAAGGGCTAGGGCCTGGAAGGACCTAGGGATGCTTGGTCTGGAGCAGAGATGAGGCGGAGGCTGGGGTTGGGGTGTAGGCGTGATGAAGGTCTTCAAGTATCTGAAGGAGGGATTGGTCTTGTTCTCTCTGGCCGGGGTCATTGAGCAGGCAACCAGCATTTGTTAAGCGCCTGCTATGTGCCAGGCACTGTTCTAAAGACTGAAGAAAGACAAAGAACAGCCCCTGCCCTCAAGGAGCTCACTCTCTAATGGGGAGACAGATGTACCAGCTGTGTAAAGAATGGGATGGAAATTTCAAAGAGATAAATTTAGGTTTGATAGGAGGAAAAACTCCCTGACAATCAGGGTGGAATGGGCTGCCTCAGGAGCTAGTGGGTTTCTTCTCATTGGTGGTCTTTAAGCGAAGGCTGCATGATCTTTTGTCCATTGTCTTCTACTGAGGATACTGTTTGAGTTTTTGAATTGGAGCATCCAGAAGAGGGCAGTTAGGGTCTCTGGAGGAGTGAATATCCATACTGCCTCAGTTACTGACTTTGTATGTATGTTCATGAGAACCTATCAGCCTCAGTTTCCTCCTCTGTAAAATGAGGATAATTATTACTTGTAGTAAGTACCTGCCTCAAAGAGTGGTTGTGAGGATCCAGTAAGATAATACACGAAAATGTGCTTTGCAGAGACCGTAATGCATTATGTAGTTGTCGTGAAGGAGGAGCTGGTAAAGGGGGGGAGGGTGTTTAACCTGGAGAAAAGAAAACATAGAGGAGGCATGATGGCCATCTTTAGATATTTGAAGTACTATTATGTGAAAGAGGGATTAGGTAAACAACAATTGCAGTAGCACAAAGGAAATGTGAGAGGCACAAATCTAGAGACATCTGCATCCCAAATGTACAAACAGACTATTTGTGCCTGACCTGGAGTAGAACCTTCCCAGGTCACACTGTACTGATCAGCAGAAGTCGAACACACTGTACCTAGACCCTAATGACATCATGATGTCATTGGTCTTCTTCCAATACAAAGGATGGACAACATGAAAACAATACTGCTGGATTTGAAGTCTGAGGACCTAGCTTCAAATCCTAGTCCTGCCATTTATTAACTTGTGTGTGACCTTGGATTTATTAACAACCCCAGTTTCCATAAGTGTTAAAAAAAAATGAGAAATTAGATTCCATGTTCTAAATCTGTGATCCTATGATACTAAGTTTCTTTTGCTTAACTTCACAGGGCAGAACTATAAGCAATGGTGAAAGCTATAAAGGCAGATTTAAGCTCCATATAGAGAAAACCTTTTACTAACACTTACTCAGAAGGGAAAGAGCTGCCTTGGTAGATAATATGCACTCCTCTATTCTGGCTATTAATTTAAAAGTTTAAATACTACTTGCCGGGGATGCCATAGAGGTTTTTTCTGTTGAAGTATAGGTTGGATTAGGTTGAAAGTTTCAAGCCTTTGGCTGAAAGCTGCCTTAAAGAGACAGATTGCCCCACCTCTTGTATACCCTGAAGTTCACACCAAGTTGAATAAAGGTAAAGAAGTCCAATGAAAAACTACAGTAAGCAAATTCTTCTATGGCAGAAATGACCAAAAGGTCAGTCAGAAGCCTGAGGTCTTTAGGAAAGCGGGTCCACCAACAAAGTCTGAGCCAATACAGTATAGCTTTCCACTGTCATAAGAGAGAGGACTATGGATAGCTTGCAAGGTTCTGTGCCCAGAGGCATCAAGAGTGCAGGCTTCCCTTAGAAATCTCTGGAGTGGATCTTGGTCTTGGCACAAAGCCCCAGTTCAAGAACTAAAAATTGGAGAGATTGAGTAAATCAAAGAGAACACTGACCAGTATAAAACTGTTTCTCAAATCTAGAGCACCCTCAAAAGAAAGGAATGACTTAACTCCATGAAAACTGCAAACAGATTCTGAAAGGAAAAAAATGGATTTTCCATAAGGGCTACATGCATACCTAGGAGAAATGATACAAGAGATTTAAATATGAAATAAAAACTCAGGAGAAAATAATTGAAAGGAGAATAAATTAGAAAATAAAGTGGTAAAAATTTACACAAGAAATGGATACCCTGAAAACCCATTTTTCATTCTTCCTCAAACCTTTTATAGATTCCCCTTTCCCCACACTCTCAGCTGAGAAACTTGCGTCATATTTTACAGAAAAAAAAATTGATACCATACTTCCTGAGTTCCTTCTCCCCTCTTCCTTGTCTCCTATTCCTCAGATGCCCTCTGATGCTCCATCATCCCTGTTTCACATGAGTAAGTGACCTTACTCCTTCCCGAGGCTAAGTCCTATAGACCTGCTAAATTGATGCCATTCTTTCCCATTTCCTCCAACTGTTTTCCAATCTCTTTGTCATCCCTACTCTAACACTTATTTTCAATCTCTCCCCTGTACTGGCTCCTTCTCTTCTGCCTACAAACATGCCCATGTTTTTTCCATCTTCAAAAAAACCCTCATTTGGGGGTATAGAAATTTGTGCTGCCCTACAGGAAAATAGAAGAGGAAGGGGATAAGAGAAGAGAAGGGGGGGAGATAAAAGGGAGGGCAAATTGGGGGAAAGGGTATTCAGAATGCACACTGTTTTGGGGTTGGGGGAGGGAGGAGATGGGGAGAAAATCTGGAACTCAGAATCTTGTGGAAGTGAATGTTGAAAACTAAAAATAAATAAATTAATGAATTTTAAAAAAAAGAAAGAAAAAACCCTCATTTGATCCTTCCATCCCCACTATCCTCCTATATCTTCTCTTCTGCCCTTTTTGGTTAAACTCCTGGAAAAGGTCATCTACAACAGGTGTTTTACTTTCTCTCTTCTCAACCCCTTACAACCCAGCTTCCGATCTCATCATTCCACTGAAATTGCTCTCTACAAAGTTATCAGGGATCTCTTGATTGCCAGATCCAGTGTCCTTTTCTCAATCCTCATTCTCCTCAACCTCTGTCTAGCTTTTGACATTGTTGATCACTTTCTCCTCTTTGGTACTCCCTTCTTTCTAGGTTTTCAGGGCATCACTCCTCCTAGTTTTCCTCCTGTTATCAAACTTCTCCTCAGTCTCTTTTGACGAATCCTTATCCAGATTATACCCCCTAACTTGTAGGTGTCCCACAGGGTTCTGCCCTGGGCCCTCTTCTCCCTCTATACTACTTCCCTTGGTGATCTCATCAACTCCCATGGATTTAATTACCATTTATATACTGACAGTTCTCAAATCTACCTATCCTGCCCTAACTTCTCGACCTCCAGTCTCACAATCTCCAGCTGCCTTTCACATATCTCAGATGATGTCTAGTAGACATCTAAAGCTCAACATGTCCAAAACAGAATTCATTATCTTTCCCCTAAACACTTCCCACCAACTACCTTCCATATTACTGTAGAGAGAAACACTATCTTCCCAGTCCTTCAGGCTCTCAACCTAGGTGTCATCCTTCATGCCTCACTGTCACCTCCTTTATCTACTCTGTTACCAAGGCTTATTGATTCTGCCTTTACAACATCTCTCCAATGTGGTTTATGGAGTGTTCAGGGAGTACCTCCACCTCTGCTGTGAATGCTTGCCAAGCCCTTTTCAAGGCTGCTTATCCACCTTTGGTGTCTACCTGTCACCCAAGTCTCACCTGTGGCTTCAAGAAGCTATAGATCATGCACAGTGGCTATACTCTGGTAAAAATTGTCTCAGCCGATGGCCTAAACCAGGTTAAGGGTAATTGACAGGCCTCAAACCTGTCAGTGAGTTAGGGGGATGTCTACCCCAAGCATGTGAAGACTTCTCCTGGGTGGAATGGGTAGATGAGAATAATTTGTTCCAACGGCCCATGAAGGCAGCTGAAGCAGATGCTGTGGAGCACTTCTGCATTGGGCCATTGCCAGTCATTCTGACTTTTGTCTTACCACTGGACTTCAGTGACACTGAAAGAGAGAGTGAGGTTGATGCCTTTGTGCAATTCTACCTCACTTAAATCCAATTCACTTGAAAGTCAAGACATCATCCTATTATGTCCTTGGTCCTCTTCTAAAATGAAGGACAAACATCAACACCAACACCCCCCCTTCTCACAGCCACCACTCGCATGCAGCCCCTCATCACCTCAGGCCTAAAGAGATTATTACGGTAGCTTGCTTGTGAACGTGCCTGCCTCAGGTATCTCCCCCACTATATTCCATCCTCTATTCAGCCACCAAAGTGATTTTCCTAAAGCACAGGCCTGACCATGACAGCTCCTTCACTCAATAAACTCTAGTTCCTCCCTTTCACCTCCAGGATAAAATACAGAATCCTCTGGCATTCAAAACCTTTCATAACCTAGTCCCCTCTTATTTTTCTAGTCTTCTTATGCCTTATTCCTTGTCACATGATCTTCACAGTGACACTGGCCTCCTTGCAGTCCATGAAGAATATCCTCTGTCTCTTAGGTGAAAGTGAGAGATTTCCCTCTAGGCATTTTCTCCAGTATCTCCCATGCCTATGATGCTTTCTCTCCTCATCTCCACCTGTTGTTGTTCAGTTATGTTTGACTCTTGGTGACTCCATTTGGGGTTTTCTTGGCA